AAGATGTTCCACCATCAGATGTAGAAAGATGTTCCACCATCATCTGTAGAAAGATGTTCCTCCATGCTGGATGTATCTCCAACAACTGGCTCCTCTGTTCTCTGGTTCTGATCCAGGCTGCATTTATTTATTGATCCAGGAGGTTGGGTTTAACTCTTATTTTATAGGATTTGGTGCTGATGCTTTATTTTCTGAATGCAACACGTAGAATCAACGGATTTCAATGAAATATCACATTTCTGGCTCTTTTTTTTCCTTTTTCTGGCTAAAGCATAAATCCCTCGTGGTGCGTTCACATACCATCAGAAAGAAAGTAAAAAATCTGTTAATTCGTTTTGCATTTTCTTCACAATTTCAGTTTGATAAATGATCTGATTTCTTAAATCTCTTCATTTTCCAACCTGCTAGCAGGTTTTAGGGTTCAGGAGGTTGAACTGGAGTTGGTCACAATCAATGACAGTCGATTCACCAGTTTGGCTTCCTCACTGTGATTAACATAAAATCTCTTAATTCTTTAAAAAGAAAAAAGCTCAATCGGTAAAACACAAAGATTCCTATCAGCCGGTTGAAGTTGTGGAGTTAAAAGATCAACAGTTTTTCCTGAAAGTCAACATCAGTAATTGGTTGGAAAGCAGAAAGGTCAGCCGGAGCTCTTTATTGAAAGGGCAAACAAAAGGCTTCAGATGATCCGCTCGGGGGCTTGAAGTCGGACCGGCTTTAATTCTCACCGAATCCACGTTTAAAAAGAGAAATCTTTTCACAAACGGTGATGGAGGTTCAGTCATCAGACCCAAAATTAACTTTAATTCAGTCTTTATGGAGAACTGGACGAGTCTGAAAGTTGTTGGAAAGTTGTTAAATCAAACTGTTGTGTCTGTTTGAAGAGTTTCTGGCTGAAAAATGGGTCGTTTTGGTGTTTTTTTTTTTTTCCATCCCACCGTTGTTCTGAGGTCTGGAGGTTAATCAGGTTTTATGATGTTTCAGTAAAATCACTTTTTTTAACGCTGAAGTCCAGATTTTCCTGCTTGATTTGTTTTTGTGTTTGTTCTTTTTGTTTCTCTTTGTCAGATTGTGTTTTATTTTAGTTACTCTAGAACCTACTTGGTGCATTATGTGTGGGTTCTGTTTTATCTTCATACTGTCGGTTTTTGGATTTAAATCTTACTGAATATTATCCAACAGATAATAGACCAGGGGTGGGCAATCCTGGTCCTTGAGAGCCCCTATCCAGCATGTTTTAGATGTTTCCTTCTTCCAACACACCTGATTCAAATGATCAGCTCATCATCAAGCTCTGCAGAAGCCTGATAACGATCCTGATCATTTGAATCAGGTGTGATGGAAGACGGAAACATCTACAACATGCAGGACTGTGGCCTTCGAGGACCAGGATTGGACACCCCTGCAATAGATGGTGGTCAGATAAAGTGCTGATGAAATGGGAAATCAGTGTAAATGGTCACGACATGTGGTGCTCAGGTGGACGAAGGGTTCGTAAATCCTGGATCAGCACCAATGACTAAAGAGTTCAGATGTTCTGACCGGATCACGGCTCAGAACAAACGCTGCTGGAGGACGAGAAAAAAATAAAGATTGATTCTAAAACGGCAAAGATTTGCTGGTTTCAGCTTCACATGTCAGGATTCGCTGCTTTTCTCTGTTTCGTGTGAGTCTAACTGGAGCGTTCTGTCTGTTGTTCTGCTGCAGGAAGTCCGGTGTGGTTCTACATGCAGGTGGCTCCCATCAGGAACGAGAACGACAAGGTGGTTCTGTTCCTCTGCACCTTCAAGGACATCACGCTGTTCAAGCAGCCCATCGAGGACGAGACCACCAAAGGTCGGTGCTGGCTCCCAGCTCGGGACTCCGTTTGGGGATCTGAGGTTTTAATATCAGCAGAATTATAGAAACAGGAAGTGTCTGGTGGACCTTCTGGTTCCTGGTGTTCCCTTCAGTGAGTCGAGCCTCAGAAGAGATGATAGTTTATTCTCAGTAAAGAGTTGAATCAAGACGATGAGACGACATCTGTGAATAAGAACAAAATGAAAGCTTGTTGGATGTTTTCTGACTGGACGGATGGTCAGTGTCATGTTTTCTACTTGATGTATTGCGACTTCTTCTTGATCTCGTAACGTTTCTGCTGGTTCAGGTCAGACTCTCTCTTTCTGATATTTTCAGTCATCAGACGTCAACAACGGTTTCTGTTCGACCGGCTCAGAACTTTTTACAGCATCACACATGAAATCAGTGACTCCTTAGATTCATACATTCAAAAACATCAGCGGTAAAGTTTTCTGCAACGGAGGAGGTTGTGTTGCTGTCAGTAGTTGTGTTTGTCGTCCTCTCCCTGACTGATGCTCTGTGTCAGGTTATGTTGGTGGTTGTGTTGCTGGTTGTGTTGCTACCAGGCTGTGTTACTGGTTGTGTTACTGGTTGTGTTACTGGTTGTGTTTCTAGTTATTTTGCTGGTTGCGTTGTTGGTTGTGTTTCTGGTTGCGTTGCTGTCAGTCGTTGCGCTTGTTGTCCTCTCTGACTGATGCTCGGTGTCAGGTTGCGTTGCTGGTTGGGTTTGTAGTTATTTTGCTGGTTGTGTTGCTGGTTGTGTTTCTAGTTATTTTGCTGGTTGCGTTGCTGCCAGTAGTTGTGCGTTTGTCGTCCTCTCTGACTGATGCTCGGTGTCAGGTTGTGTCCTCGGGACGGACGTCAGCGCTGCTCAGTGTCTGTTTGCCCTTTGACAAGGATCCTGTTCAACACACATGTTCACGGGAACACGTGTGTCCGTGTTGTCATCGTGTGATTAGTTTATTCCTTCATGTGTGTAGAACTCAACACGCGAGCGGAGCGTGAGTGGAACTCGTGCTGTCACATCAGCGTGTCGACGTCTTTGTTAGTGCTGACGAACTTCAGGTTTACTTTTGGAATCTGACAAAGTCAATCTGTCAAGAAGACGTACAGATGTTCCAGATGTGATGATTGAACGTTCTCCTTCTGTTCTGAACACGTGTCCTCACTGTGGACTCAGTCTTCACTGCATTAGAAAGTCGAATAAGCTCCATGGAAACAAAGCAGCCATGGCTACACCCTAAAAGATATTCCTGTAAAATAACAACACAGAAAATCTGGCTGCAAGAATAAATCTATCAACAAAATCACAATAAAATAATTCTTATTTTTAGTGGATGTAAATACAGAGAAACAGTAGTTTTATGGTCAAACACTGCAAAAGAACAAATTACTCCTGTCAAAAGCATGTAGAGGTTTGGCCTCTTTGTCTTTTTTTTCTTTTTTTCCTTTTTTTTACAGTCATAATGTAAATTAATACTTTCTCATCCAACAAAACAGGAAACGTTTGTTTAATACCAGTTTAAAACAAACATTTTAAAACTTATTATACATATATTTTATTTAAAATAGCTCTTCCTTCCCAGGACTGTGCCTATAAAAATCACTTTGACCACCTCGGTGCAGCGCTGCTCTGCTCCCGCTGCTCCTGCTACACTTACTGCTCGTTAAACATTTACAGCTAACAGGTAAATTCATGCATCTTTTTTTTCTATGACTTCACAAGTTATCTGTAATTTAATAAAATGGAGGAAAATCTGTAAAATCACGGTAAATTGTTGAATTACAGTTTACAATCGGTCCTTCTCGATGAGGTCATGTGGTGGAGTATCCATGACGACACTTTGGGTTAATTTTCAGTGTAATTCTGAGACATTTTGCAATGAAGCAAAACAAACGTGTGAATATAAAAGATGCTGCTACACAGATGGTTTATTGTCGTGGATTCATGGACGGACCTTAAAACAGCATCTCCTTGGCAACCGGGCTGCACTTGACGGTTTTGGCGCTGACCGGCGTGCTGCTGTAGATGCTGTACAGTCTGGAGTGTTTCAGGCCACGCTGAGGCTGCAGCTACTGTACGTTCTGCTGGTAGCACAGATTCGCTGCTGCAGGCGTTGGCAGAGTTTTCTCGTGCAGGGACCAAACCTTCCTCTCAGCACCGGCTCGGGCTCGTCTCGCGGCTCCGAACGCCACAAACCGTCAGCGTCAGCCGAGCGGCGCAGATCGGCCTCCTCAGCTGGAAACACGACTGTACATTTAAGATGCGTTATCTCTGTGTGTTCCTGCCCCAGTTTCACCTCAAATTACACCTTTTTTTTTTTTTTCCATTGCCAGCCGCTCATCTGGCTGATTTTACCCTCCTTCATGTGCTCCACAATGCGCTTTGGTGCCACACATTCATCCATCAGCTGATAGTCAGATGTTTCCTATGAAAAAGAACACACATCTGCAGTATTTCCATTGTGACCCAGTATTAACGGGTTTTTGGAGCGTACTGGGTTAAAGAGTTCTCTGTGTGCACAGCTGGTAGCGGTTATCACAGTCAGTTCATCATTTCAGCAACAAGAGGAGCAAAGAAAAACACACAAAACTGTTGAAAACTAGTGAACATCACGTTGTTGTTGACGTTTAGCTGTGCACTAGGTCTCTTTCTATGACTTTAGCTCTGTAGTTAGCTTCTTTTTATGACTTTAGCTGGGATGTTAGCCTTCTTTATTTGCTTTAGCTAGGTACTTAGCTGTTTCTGTGTTGCTAACCTTCTTTTTCTGACTTTAGCTGTGCAGTTAGCGCTATCTGTGGCCTTAGCTGTGGAGTTAGCTTCCTTACTATGGCTTCAGCTGTGTAGTTAGCCTATTTTCTATGACTTTAGCTATGTAGTTAGCTTCTTTTTATTACTTTAGCTATGTAGTTAGCTTCTTTCTATGACATTAGCCATGTAGTTAGCTTCTTTCCATGACTTTAGCTATGAAGTTAGCTTCTTTCTATGACTTAAGCTGTGCAGCTAGCTTTCATTCTATGGCATTACCTGTGTAGTTAGCTTTCGCTCTACGGCTTTAGTTATGTAGTTAGCACTTTCTATGAATTTAGCTGTGATGTTAGCCTTCTTTCTTTCTTTTAGCTATGTAGTTAGCTGGTTTCAAATGGCTTTAGCTGTGTAGTTAGCTTTTTTTCTATGGGTTGATGTGTAGTCAGCTTTCTTTCTATAACTTTAGCAGTGTAGTTAGCTTTGTTTTTATGACTTTAGCTTTGCAGTTAGCGCTATCTCTGGCTTTAGCTGCGTGGTTGGCTTCATTACGACGACCTTAGCTGTGTGGTTAGCTTCTTTCTATGATTTTAGCTGTGTGGCTAGCGTCTTTCTATGACTTTAGCTGTGCAGTTAGCTTCTTTCTGTGACTTTAGCTGCGTAGTTAGCCCTTTTTATGACTTTAGCTTTGCAGTTAGCGCTATCTGTGGCTGTAGCTGTGTGGTTAGCTTCCTTACTACGACCTCAGCTGTGTAGTTAGCTCCTTTCTGTGACTTTAGCTGCACAGTTAACTCTTTTTATGACTTCTGCTGCATAGTTAGCTTTATTTTTATCACTTTTGCTGCGTCGTTAGTTGTCTTTCTGCGCCTTTAGCTGCGTGGTTAGCTCTTTTTAATACTTCAGCTGCACAGTCAGCTTTATTTTTATCACTTTAGCTGTGTCTTAGCTATCTCGCGTTTCTGTGCCTCTATGTAGCACTTTGCTCTGTCAGCACCTGTCCAAGCTTCACAGATGGCAGCTACCTGAGCCTGAGGCCAGACGACGTTTCAGGTACACAGCTGATCAGAATGACTGATGAGGCGCCTCAGGCATCAGGGCCAGCAGTTAGCTCGGTGAAACCGGTCATTTTGTTTAGCACAGTTGTAGCTGGACTCATATTATTCACCCAGTTTTATACAGTCTGTTATTGGGAATGAGGAAGTTGAGTCTGACTGACAAAAAAAAGGGAAATGCACTTTTAATTTAGTTGGCTTTCAGTTGTCTGGAAGAAAAATAAATGTACTGAACTGGGCTTACAGGTAGCTCCTCCTGAGGCAGCTCAGGATGACTGTTGGCCGCTCTTCAAAATCACAAAGTTCACCAACAACACTTCACAAAATATGCAAACTTAAGCTGCAATTTACAACAAGAGACAATTTCAATACCTGTCACAAATAAAAGACACTTAAACCTACAGCCCAGTCATGTGCACTCGGGAACCCTGAAGGAATCTGCACGCAACCCTGTTTTCCATCAGCGATGCAGCGGCCAAGACTCTCCTCCTGCACAAAACACACCGAGACACGGAAGCTGCTCTGCAGTTGGGAAACGTGCAGCGACGGCAGTCATTCAGCGAACGGAGGAACCAGAAAGCCTGGAGGGAAGCTGCCGTGTGCTGCCTTGTAGTAAACAATGTTTTTTTAATCCTACAAGAGAAAAGACTTTGAGGATGAAGACCAACTGGCTGGTTGAACTACATGACAAGAAAAGAGTCTCGTGCAAAGTAAACACAGAAGTAGTGTCAATTAATTAAAGATATTAAATGTAAAATACGGGATTGCATTCATCTCCTTATAAAACTCCTTAAACTCTGTCTGGTTCCACAGGGATCATGAGTGACCAGAACTTATTAAGTCCAGACACGAACTCTCAGCTGGACTGAGGTCTGGACTCTGACTGGGCCTCCAGAACTTCACCTTGTTGTCTTTAAACCATTTCTGTGGAGCTTTGGCTGTTTGCTTCGGCTCATTGTCTTGATGGAAAACAAGTCTTCTCCACGTCTCAGTTCTCCTGCAGACTGCATCAGGTCGTCCTCCAGGATTTCTCTACACTTTGCTGCATTCATTCACCCTCTATCTTTACAAGCCTTCCAGGCTGCTGCTGAGAAGATCCTCACATCATGATGCTGCCACCACCGTGCTTCACGTCATGATGCTGCCACCACCGTGC